AGTGGATAAGTTGTCTCAAACATCCTGGAGTGCCATTGCCAGATCATTCAGACATTATCAGTGAAGAAGCACTTGGAAGTGATCAATCCTTTTTTGAGTGGGACCACCCTGCCCACCTGACTTGAGAGTTCAAGAAATCACAATAAGACATTGTGCCCAGTCTTTGATCTGTTACTGTTGTTCTGGATACTTTTTCCCCTTATGTCAGTGAATGATGATAATGACATACTGTTGGTATTAGTATTGTCATGACTATTTAGGATCCATTATATAGATCTTTAAGTAATATTCTTAAAGAGCAATTGAATCTTGTTTTGAGGCTAGAATATGGATGATCCAATCTTCAGTTCCACTTGGCCACTACAATGTTATGTAAAGGCAAAGGTTCTAATGGATAAATCCTTTGAAAAGTTATCTTCTAATTGATCCATATGGTCAAAGGGTAGAACAGATAAGAACCACATAGCTCCAAAAGTGCAGGTGCAATCTGAGCCAGCAACAATTTCCATTCAATGGGAAACACAGCTCAGTGGCCATTTGGTGAAGCAATGTGGCCTTTCAGAGATTCAAGTGGTCACAGTGAAAAACTTTAGTTCAGATGATGATGATGATGAAAACAACTGCAAAGCTGTTGCCTTAGTGGCCTATTCCCACCTGAACATCATCATACATACAAGTCATCATATTTTATGTGAAGTTGGTGTTTCTTCCAACTTATTTGGCTGGCAGACCTATCAAATGCTGCATGCCCTACTTGTTCAATGACAAGGACCACATGCCAATCCACTGGTACTATAAAAAGTTCTTGTGTGATTGGTGTTTTGCATCATTGTCAGATCTGGATCCCTAGCTGGGGCCTCTCTCTCTCTCTCTCTCTCTCTCTCTCTCTCTCTCATTCTCTCTCTCTCTCTTAATCAACCTTGAGCTTGAATCAATTGACATTGAAGGAGTGTTCTTATGTCTTTGTTCTCATCCAAGAGGATCAGTCATGTCAGTCAAATACTTTAGGAAAAAGCATAATGGTATTATTGCAGAACTTATGTTGCCATTCATCTTCTTTTTTCACATATTTGCCAACCAAATAACATAAAGTGCTATGTTTGTCATTATATTCTGTTTAAAGTATATATGTCACTTCAACATTGGTATCAGTCCATGTGTTCATTCATCTTCTTTTTTCACATATTTTCCAACCAAATAACATCAAGTGTTATGTTTGTCATTATATTCTGTTAAAAGTATATATGTCACTTCAACATTGGTATCTGTCCATACATGTTTAGATAGGTTTTGCCTACATTATTGACACAATCATGAGGAACATTTTAACTTCATATATTTGGTTAAGTTAAACATCTTGTTTAACTTCACCTTTGTCATCTCCATATGAATAAATATAGTTGACCATTGTTTAACACTACTGTTAAACTTTTTGAAATATTTTATCTGATAACATTACTTACTCCTGTCTCACCTGAGTCCAAATTAACTTATCCACCTGATAAAGTACTTGAAACACATGCATCCTAAGTTTAACTTGATCACATATATGGTGAAACATTAATGTATTTTCAGAAAATAAATGACAAATACATATATATATATATATATATATATATATATATATATATATATATTTGATGGCCTAAGAAGTTCTTCTTTCTAACAGAAACAAATTCTTAGCACAATTCATTTGTAATCAAGTAGGTAAAATACATAACTGAAGAAAATATAGGGCAAATTACAGTGACTTTCTCACATGTTAGAAGAGCAACATAACCATGAGTAAACTGGCCAAAATTGGACAAGCAATCTTGGGTGACACATGACATGTCCGTCTTCTCCTTCTAAGAAAATACTACTTCATGAAGGTCTTTATGCAAAAAGATTTATATACTTAAAAAGAGTCTTGTTATAGAAAAATATCATTGATATACTGGTTAGTCTGATTTGGTTTGAACCCGTATGTATAGGATTGTCCAATGCACTTTAGAGATGACACATGTATAAAGACCAAGGTCGAGAGAGGTTTCTTAACCTGAGTCGCTCGAGTTAGTAATCCGAGATCCTCAAATATTGATTCGAGTAGTTCAAATGAGTCATTTATAGTTTAAGATATCTTTTTGTACCTTAGGAGATAAGAATAATGTTTGTAATTGTCCATCGTAATGGATAATCCTTGTCATAATGGATGAGAATGAAGTTTGTGATTATTTTTCTTACCCTAATGGATGAGAATGAAGCTTGAGTTTACCTACTTTGAATCTTCATCGCATATGGGTGGAGAGTGACTTGGATCCCATGTGACAATCACGTGTTAGTTGATATTATATTCCCTATCATTTATTCCCCTCTGAAGGCATGCTTTGGGGGTCCTTGTGAGAGGGGCTCGAAGTAAGTCGTTTAGTTTATTTATCATAGGAGCATCCGGGATCTCCTCTTGCGGGTCGAGCTTTTTCATCTCACACATCTTAAACATATTTTACCTTGTGCATCTACTATAGTAGATTTCTATTGTTGTAGGTTGGTTTCTCTTAACTCATATGTCTCGAGCACATTTCGTCATATGCTTCCACCGTAGCAAATTTCTTCATGTTAGTTGAGTTTTCTCGACTCATATGTCTCGGGCATGTTGGCTTATGCCTCCGTCATGATGGATTTTTTCAAGCGGGTCGAGTTTTCCTAACTTATGCGTCTTTTGTATATTTCGCCCTACACTTCTGCTATAGCAGATTTTTGCTGGTGTAGGTCAAGTTTTTTCGACACATGCTTAAAGCACATTTTGCTCTATACCTTCGTCATAGCGAATTTTTTCATGAGAGTCAAATTTTCTCGACTCATGCATCTTGGACATATTTTACCTTGTGCCTCTACCATAGTAATTTTTTCTTCATGCGGGTCAAAAGTTTTTGACTCGTGCATCTCAAGTAGACTTGGTCTTGTGCATCCGTTATAGCAAATTTCTCTTCACGAGGGTCAGGTTTTTCCTATTCACACATCTCCGGTGCATTTGGCTTTATGTCTCTATTGTAGTATATTTCTTTTCATACGGGTTGGATTTTCTTGACTCATACGTCTCGGGCACATTTGACCTCGCATCATCGTAACAAATATCTTTTAGCACGGGTCGAGTTTTCTGACTCACATGCCTCGGGCACATGTGGCCTTGTACCTTCCACCGTAGTGGATTTTTCTTCATGCGGGTTAGGTTTTCCTAACTCACATATCTCATGCATATTTGGCCTCACGCCTCTATCATGATAGATATATCTTGGCACGAGTCGGGTTTCTCGACTCACATGCCTTGGTCACATTTGGTCTCGTGCCTCCATCAAGACGGATATATATTAGCATGGGTTAGATTTCATAGCACATGCCTAGGGCACATTTGGCATTGTGCCTCTACCGTAATGGATTTCTCTTTAGCAGGTTAGATTTTCCAAACTCATGCGTCTCGGATGCATTTGACCTTGTGACTCTGTCGTGACAGATATATCTTAGCACGGGGCGAGTTTTCTAACTCATACGCCTCATGCATATTTGACCTTGTGCCTTAACCATAGTAGATTTCTCTTCACATGAGTTGGGTTTTCCTAACTCATGTGTCTCCAACGTATTTGATCTTGCATCTTCACCTAGCAGATTTTACAAGAGGTGTAGCCATCAAGCGAAGCCATCTAGCTCGATGATATAGTGCTCTCAAGAGGTGTAGCCATTGCTCTTAGCGATATCACCGTTGTAAGCATTGCTAACATGCTTGAAGAGCAAGTCAAGGGTAATGGACTTTCCGTCACCACTATCTCTTAGGTGAAAAGTCATATATTGAAATACTAAATTATATAATTTGAGTCGAAAAGCCATATATTAAAATTAAAATTTACTAAACAACTTTGAAGTGGAAGCGGTGGAAATGGATGCTCAGATTTGATCTCTATGTGGGAATTTGACATTGCCATTGTTCATGAAAACCTTAAAGCACTCTCAAATTTTAATTTAATATAAGGGAAAGGAACTTACAATTTGACTTGTGTTTTTCTTTTTTTGGTGAGATGGCAAAAGTATCAAGTGCCAACTATCGGGTGATGATCAAATGACAAGGATCAAAACAATTTTAAAACAGAAGAGAACCCTTAGTTCCTTTCTCTCATTTGATTTCTTTATTATGATCATTTTACCAACTTATCTTTGGAGGATAACATATTAATTATTTTATGCACCAAACTAGTCCAAATGAACTTTCAACTCCTCCAAGGAAGCCACAAGACCTTCAAACAATTACAACTTAAATCTACAAAAATTATGCTATGAAATCAATCATATGATATCTTTCTTATCTCAACAATTCTTGGCTAAATGTCATCTCCTAAAAAACATTTATGTTCCATTTTATGAGAACCTAATCAATCATATTCACTCTTCGATCAGATGTCCTCCAACTCAATTTGCACACTCAATTTCTCATTCAACGCTGAGTTCGGGGCGCCGAGAACGATCCGACCCGCTAATCGTCCGGTCAAAATTAAGCCGCGTCCTGTGGGACCCATCAGGACGTCAGATGGATGGACCCGATCAGCACGGGGGCTCCACGTGTCTCCCCGTCCGCGGCACGCTCCCCCGCCCCCGCCGCGCGTGCCCGTTCCGTGCTCCGCCGCTGCAGGGGAATTAATAACGGTGTTCCCGTCCCGTCGTGGGTTGCGACCCCGGGCCGGGTCCATCCATGCGAACCGGATTCGATGTGGCCGAACCGAGCCGGTCCGATCTCCCGTCTCTCTGACCGCCGTAGAGAATCCCCGCGACGAGCATGGGTGTTTCCGTAAATGCACCCGAGGCGTAGCGCCATCCATGGAGAGCTTCGGCCGGAGGGACGACCCGACCTATGTGGGAGACAACACGTGAAAAGACTAGATTATCCCTGCTTGGGCCGTGGTTGGAGCACTGGGTGATAACACGTGCGACGGCCTCCGCAGCTGACTTGGTGGCGCTCCGCACGTGCCTCACACCCCTTATCAACGCCGAGAGAGAGAGAGGGAGAGGTGAGCTCGCTCTCCTCCAATGGCTCGTTGAATCGCGATTGAGGCGTTTAAAGTACCATAAAAAATAAGAAATAAGAAAAAAGGAGGAGAGAGAGAGAGAGAGAAGAAGAAGAAGAAGGAGAAGGAAGAGGAAGAGGAAGGGGGATTGAAACCCTAGGGGGAATTGAGGACGGCTGCCATGGCGACGCCACAGGCGGGTGACGGGGTCCTCGCCCTGATGCCGCAGGAGGTGGCGAACTCGGTCGAACCGGCGCCTTCGTCGCCACCGCCGGCGGCGGCGGCGGCGGCGTCACTCAAGGGTTCGGCGGAGAAGTCCCCGATCCTGATCTTCCTCTACTTCCAGAAGGCCATCCGGTCGGAGCTCGACCGCCTCCACCACGACGCCGTCGAGCTCGCCACGGACGGCAGCGGCGACGTCCGCTCCCTTGCGGAGCGCTGCATCTTCCTATTCGACATCTACCAGCACCACTGCAACGCCGAAGACGCGGTACGGGTTTATGTATACTTGTATGTTTACTGGTTCCTTCGATCTTGAAGTTCTTGTGTTTTAAGGCTTGGTAATGGTAGGTGGTCCACAATTGCATCGATGGAAGGGTTTTAGGTGAAAGATCTTGATTTGTTGGAGAAGCCTTCGATCTTCGTGCTGCTAATACTATTAACTTTGAATTGGTGATGGTCGTGTTAGGACCGAAAATGATGTAACTAACTGCAATATAACAACATCGTGTTGGCTGTCGATCGTTTAGCTCACAGGGAGAAGACTAATGGTTCTGCTTCTTTAGGCTGACTTTTTTATTAGGATTAATATCAAATTCCATACTTTATGAGAAGTAATGATGAATAAGTCATTGATTGATGAGTTATAATGTCTTTATCACTGCTTATTTTTGGTAGAGCAAGATGAACAGCCTTTGATAATAAATACCAGAGTAATATAATTGAGGGAATTTTGATCTTTTCAGGTCAGACATGCTAATTAGTGGACAGGACCAGCCGAGGGTCGAGTTTCTGTTTTTTCTGGTCTGACCATCTGCTCCATTCCAGCTTTAGTAACAATGAATTTAGAATTATATCTTTCATTTCTTTGCTAAACCAGGTAACACAGCTCCTTAGATAGGTTAGCATCAAACAAACCATAGAGGTTTAGAGTTTGTCAGATTAAGATAGTTTAAATTGACTATTTTTCACCTTGTATGAAACAAGGTTTAAATTAGCATGCTGTTGTATCATGGAAGAGGAACATCAGTTTATTTGCTTGTCAGTGTCTTAATACTTAGAAAGAGAGAACACTCTTTGATGGAAGAAGAGCAAGGCAGCATATTATGGATTACTTTTTTTATTCTAGGTGATAGTTTATAAAATTAGCATTTATCTGATATCACCATACATGCAGTATAAAATGAGTAGTCTAAAAAAAAAAGAATCCAGCCATTGTTCCTGCACCTTTTGGATTCTAAATCTACTTATTTCTTGTCCCCGCATATTTAAAGCCAAATAAATCCAAATAAGATGTTTTAATTCAAAAGTTGTATGCACGAAGCATTTATTTTGATTGTGCTGTAGATCAAAGTACTACATCTATAATAATTATTAGCAATTTGATAGCCGGTCACAGTAAGGTGATTTGCTTGAAAACTATCTAATATAAAAGAATTGGTAAGATAAAAGCTGGTGTAAGTAAGACTATTTTTTATATGAGAAATTGTCCTTTATGAAAAATGTAACATTTTCCAGAAAGAATTCCATCACTCCAGAAAGAAGTACATGGAATTTGGTGTACTCCGCAAAGAAGTTGGTGTAACTAATTTGAAAATCATGGTACATAGTTAATGTTAGAGATGACACCCAATGTGGTATTTCTTTAAAAGTGGACTTGCTAACATTCTTTTCATGGTATGACTCTTCTGTCGCACTATTTTTCGACAATCATTTACACAAAAGTTAGGTATTCAAGGAGTGTATGAATGGTAATTTCATACCATCATTCTAATAGCCATTCTCATTTTAGCTGATTTCTTTTTAGAGCTAGGATACTCGTGACCAGTGTCCACAATGGTAGAGAGGAATAACAGGAGAAGATGAGAGGAAGAAGCAGAAAGGATTAAGAAAAATATTAGATTAGAGGAGGAAGGGAAAAGGAGAGGAGGCTATGGAAGTGGAGGAGAAATTAAAAAGATAGATCACATGCTTGCCATGGTGCCATCTTTTCTCAAAACATTTTGTTGCTCATAGTGCACTGTGTTGGATACATGTCAAACACTTCTTGAGATGTGTTGGATACATGGAACATACTAGGACATATGCGTGATATACATTTGTTAATAATAATGTTTGTAGGGCACTTATTTTACCTATGTAGGGAATCTAGACATGTTGAACACAGATTCATTCGTTAATAGTAATGTATGTAGGGCACTTATTTACCTATGCAAGGAATCTAGACATGTCCAACACAAATAATGTGTACCTTGGGTTTTGAACTTATATGACTGCAGATCTCTAATATTTGTTATATGAATTTGAGGTATGCAATGAATGATTTTTGGAATTTTTATGCTTCTGACAAGGTACACATACAAAGATCACAAAATGCAACAAACATGTCTTCAGATTTGAAATTATTAGCATACATAAGCTACGTAGTTATTAAGTGCTCTGCCTATGCCATGCCATGTTCTACTCTAAGATTAGAAGTGTCCCATGTTCATGCGTGTGCTTCACAGATGTGACTTACTTTCTTATGTTTGTTCCTAACATGTCTTTAGTTGCTAGCCTGCTGCTGAGACTCCTAGCAGATTGGTTATTTATCTGGTACGTTGAGACATTTCAACATCCTGTATTTAGTGGGAGTCATGTAATGTGATCTCTGCTTGTTACCCAAAGCTTCTATCTTACATGTGCCCTAAGAATCCTTACAAGTCATTCTTTACATGATTTTTCTTTGAAGGGAAAAGGGCAAAAACACAATTTTGCACCTTGATTTGTGCATTCCTTGCATTTGCCAAAGTCCATATTCTGGGAACTTGAAATTTATGGGAATTGGCAAATCTAGGTCCATTTGTCTGGAAGATTGTAGCACATCTTTTAGAGCTTTGGCAGGGTTGCTCGTTTGATATTTATGGGATATTAGAAAGAATTATTTTTTAACTTTTTAGTCTTTATTTGGAACCTAACTTGAGATATTTTGAGTTGGGTGTCAAATGGAATTTACATTAGATTCTGTAGTCTCTTTCTTAGAGGTTATTTGTGCTTTATTGAAGAAAAAAGGCCATAATAAATTTTCAGTTTTAATAATTGTAACCATGAAAAAAACTGATTTGATATATGTAACCATATGTTTTTATTAATTTTTAAGGTTATCTTTCCAGCTCTTGTTACATGATTCAGTTTTCAATTTTTTATATTTGAAACAATGAAGAAAACTGATATGATATATGTAACAATATATATTTTTATCTATGTTCAAGGTTATCTTTCCAGCTCTTGATACACGCGTCAAGAATGTGGCTAGAACGTATTCTCTAGAGCATGAAGGGGAAAGCCATCTTTTCTATTTTGTGTTTGTTTTATTAAAGTCACATATGACACATGATGATCGTCTTCGGAGAGAACTAGCTCTTCGTATTGGAGCAATAAAAGCATTATTTAGCCAGCAGATGCCTAAGGAGGAAAAGCAGGTATTTGTTTCAGAGGATCATTTCCGAAGAGAACTAGCCTCCCGCACTGGAGTCATAAGAACGGCACTTGTCCAGCATATGTGTAAGGAAGAAGAGCAGGTACGTGTTTCTAAGATTTTTTTTTTTTTAAATATTGCATATAAGAAAGTTCAAAACTTTAAATTACTGAAGTCTAGTGTCAGAAAGTTCTTTCTTGTATTTGGTAGTGTCAAAAAAATTAATATAATTGCCAGATGTTTCATACTACATGTTTTGTCTTAGCTGCCTTTGTGTAGGTTCTCCTTTGTAGTATAAAATTATTTTCATGATAGCTAAGATATGTTCATGTAGAACTTTGTTCTTTTCTTTTAGTTCATCCAGAAATAAATGACAAATGGACTTAACTATTCTCTTTTCTTATGCCTTTGTTGTATCGATTACAAGGACACATCATGAGGCTTATGCATATATCGACTCAAATATTTTACAGAGACGGAGGATTATAAAGTCTTACTAAATATTAGATGTATAGTATGCAGTTTGTGAGTAAGATGCTTGATCTTGTGTTTTCATTCTGAACTGCTTGATCTTGCAACTGCAATGAAGTTAATCTCAAAACTTTGGTCAGCTGGTGGTCATTTGAAGGTATTCATGCATGTAAATCAAGGATAATTCAGCCATTGGCTTTCCCTTGTCCTTTGTAGATGCACTGTTCACCTATTTATTGACCTTGTGTTACCACATGATGTACATCGATGTATTCTATCAACAGCTTTTGCTTTCCAATCTTATGTGCACTTTCAAGCTAAAGTCACCAATCAGCATATTTTTACATGATCTGAAATCAACATCAAAATGAAATGGTTCCATGGATTACTTGGGGAAGTTTCTTTCTTTGGGCTATATTGGGATTACACAAAGAAGTTAGAAATTTTGGTGTTTATGTGGTCTCATATTATCTTTTTTGCTTTAATATAGGCTTTGGTCTATAGCATGGTTTAATATAGGCTATATTATCTTTTTTTGCTTTAATATAGGCTTTGGAAATTTTGGTGTGCTAAATTTCTTGTTGCAGATTGAATGACACATAGAAGAAGCATTTGCCATTTGTTGTTGCATAGTGTGTGTTTGAGGCCATTAGAGGTGATTATCTTTAAAATCATCCAAGACAAACAAACAATGCACGTGTGTGTGAACTTGAATTGTTTATACAGCTTAACAGTCTAAAGCATGGTTCACCTTACTGGTCTGTATTGGTGTACCGATCTGTCACGGACAAAACTGTAAACAAGGTGTTTAATGTAATGCTCATGTATGTCCGTGTCTTTTGATTTGTTTATGCTTTGCACAATATGTAGAGGGATAGTCGAAGACTTATAATATCATTTTAGTTGGGTTTGGTGGCCATTTTAGGCTTATAAATAAAGGTTGTGTCATGTGGACACTCGTGAAAGATGTTCGGTCTATAGTGGACCATTTTGAATCCTTTGTTGTGCGATCGTTCAGAGCTTGTGAAGTCTGTTTGTAATTTGCATTGGACACTTTCGCTAACTCGTTTTCTCTTTTGTATGTCCTAAAGGACCATAGGAGATTTCGAGGAGGCTGACCTTTGTAAACGGACATGCAAGGGTGTCGTACGACTTAAGCAAAAACAGCTAAGTTCGTGACAGATCGGCTGTCGGTACGATCGTTATACCGACATATGGTATGGTGGGGCATACCAATAGATTAGGATGTATCGCCTGTATTAGTTTTCCATCAGATGGGTATGTATCGCCTAGAAGTACGGCGAGCCTTGGTCTATAGTAAAGGACTGTACATTTGATCTAAAAAAAAAACTCAATGATGAAGACTATTCAAGAACCTGAGAAATTGAAATAACATGGAGACTGATGTTGTTGTTATATAATCTGTTATCTACAAACTAAGGTTATGGAAGGTATCTCTGTCTCTTTATTTGGATTCTAGAGACCAGTATAATTCAAATGTCCAGAAATCTATAATCTAAATGGTTAATTAGTATCGTATGGACTGAGACAACAGATGCAGGAAAAGTTTATAAAGAATGAATAATAGATTGTTAGGATGCAGGACAACCATTCTTGCCTGTTTGGGTAAGTGTTGTACTGCCCTGTCGAGCATTCCCCTTGAGATCTCTTCTAATCCAATCAATGCTATGTTCTCACTGCAAGTCGCAGCATTTACATGCTCTTGTTCTTTGCTATGTTGAATTCATTATTAAAATTTACATTTGAGTGTCAAGAATTTTACCAGAAGTTCTTATTTCATACCATATTTTCTGGAACCATTAGTCCAATTTTGCTTTATTCATTAAGGGAAGCTAACCAAAGGTCGCCTGTTTTTAGTAGCATTTTACAGATTAAGGTAGAAATTGAATTCTGGCTGTTTCTGTTGTCGGATGTGGTATATTCTGTTTTTTCATTAGTTGTTCCTGTAGTTGGATGTTTCATGGATCTATTTTACTAATAAATGATTAGTAAGCGTCTATTTATGACTGTGCCACTGTTGTGTTCTTTCTTCAAGACCTAATACTACATGATATTTTCTGCCAATATATGTTGTGGCTAATTCGTTTGTGGTGGTACAGGTCTTTCCCTTGCTTATAGAGAAGTATTTATTTGAAGAGCAGGCTGATCTGGTTTGGGAGTTCTTATGTAGCATCCCTGTGGATATGATGACAAAGTTCCTTCCTTGGCTTTCATCTTCTGTTTCACCTGAGGAACACCAAGATATGATCAACTGTTTGAGGAAGATAGTACCAAACGAAAAACTTCTTAAACAGGTAATATTTTTCTTCATACAAGATTCCTTTTGTCTACAAATCGAGATTAACTTGACTATTTGTCTACAAATCGAGATTAACTTAACTAGCATTGTTATTTGTTTGAAACATGTAGGTCATATTTACTTGGATTGAAGACAAAAGCATGGCTGACATGGGAAAAAGTCATGTTGATGATTCTCTATCACAGAGTTCTATTGATGACACTGAGAAGTATGCCTGTCTTTCTGATCTTTCCAGGACTGGGAAGAGAAAACATGACGAACCAGACAGCAAAGCTATTGATCTTGGGTTGTACCCGATAGATGAAATATTGCATTGGCATAATGCTATTAGAAAAGAATTAAATGAAATAGCAGAATGTGCAAGGAAAATACAGCTTTCTGGAGATTTATCTGATTTGTCTGTCTTCAACACAAGGCTTCAATTTATTGCTGATGTGTGCATCTTTCATAGGTAAGGGACTTTGTTATTTTTTATTGAATAAAAGCAGATAAAGTTTATACGAATTCTGGTTAAGAGCTCTCTTGGATTTTACATTCTTTGCATGACCTTTTTTTTGTTATTATATGAAGCTCATAACCAATTAACCATTCTGAGAGAAGTGGACCATGATGTATAGAAAATTTGAACTTACTATATGACTATATGTCTCATGGTTTGCAGTACCGGTCCGTACCGCCCAGTACGGGCGGTACGTACCGGTCTGACAGGCTTCTGGTACAGTGCTCGGCATGCTTGAATATACCGCTCGGTACACCTGGGTGTACCGAGCGGTATACCGTACCATACCGGTACCGAGCCCAGGTCGAAACTCCGGTACGGTACGGTATTGCGAACCTTATGTCTCATATAAAAAGTTTGGCCAGTGCCCTTACACTAAGAAGCACAGGGACTGCATTTGAGATAATGAAGTACAACATGAAATAGCAGTGATTTAAGCAATCTTTACACATTCACCATTATTCTTGGACTTAGTGCTTGAACTCATCTATTGACAAATAGCATTTTCTGCACATGCAGTTATGCTGAAGACCAAGTAATATTTCCAGCAGTATCAGATGGAATGGAATTCCTTTTGCTGGACCATGCAAATGAAAAAATTCAGTTTAACAAGTTTAGGTGCTTAATTGAAGAAATCCAGAGTGCAGAGGCCAATTCTACTTCTGTAGAATTCTATTCTGAGTTTTGTTCGCATGCTGATCAAATAATGGATACTATTCAGAAGCATTTCCATAGTGAGGAAGCTGAGGTACGCTGATACGGACAACATTAACTTTATTGTTTTCTTTTGAGTATCTGAAAATACATTTGTACTTCTCTTTTTTTAGGTTCTTCCTCTTGCCAGGATGCATTTTTCTTCTGAGAAACAGTGTAAGCTTCTTTTCAGAAGTCTGTGTGTTATGCCCTTGAAACTGTTAGAGCGTGTTTTACCATGGTTTGTTGCGAACTTAAGTGATAAGGAGGCAAGTCAGTTTCTCCAGAATATGCATCTAGCTGGTCAGTTCTCTTGTGTATCTTTACTCTTCACTTTTGCCACATCATTTTACCAATTTTTTAAAGCTAGCTAAGATTGATGTTTCATGGCACAGCCTCATCATCTGAAGATGCACTGGTCACCCTTTTTTCCGGTTGGGCGTGCAAGGGTAGGAGCGAGGATATTACCAGATCTGGCAAGTTCATATGCTTGACTTCAAAAGCAATCTGTTGCTTCCCTTTAGAAGACGGTACTGAGTCGGAAGAAGATTGCAGACATAATTTCTGTTCATGTTCTTGTCTACTTGGGTGTGAGAAAGGCTTGACAATTCTGAAATCTGAGAACAATGCTAGGCCTATTAAACGAGGCAACTTTTCAGGATTATATGGAAATTCTGGTGAAATCAACACTTCAGAAAGTAATGAAATCTACAGTGTGTCATGTAGCCAAAAGTCATGCTGTGTACCAGCGCTGGGAGTTGCTAGCGCCAACACTGGAATAAGTTCACCTGATGCTTCAAAGTCTCTGCTTTTTTCATCTTACAATTCTTCTGCCCCTTACTTTAAGTCCAGTCTCTTTGTTCCAGAGATGGAATTGAATTTATGTAGTATAGAGAACACTTTGAGGCCAATTGACAACATATTTAAATTTCATAAGGCGATTAGCAAAGATGTGAAGTATTTGGATGATGAATCCGGAAACCTTATACCTTATGTTGATACTGTTCTTCGGCAGTTCAGTGGAAGATTTCGCTTGTTATGGGGTCTATACAGAGCTCATAGTAATGCTGAGGATGATATTGTTTTCCCAGCTTTAGAATCAAGAGAAACACTTCATAATGTGAGTCATTCATACACCCTTGACCACAAGCAGGAAGAAAAGCTATTTAGAGATATTTCTGTGGTGCTTTTAGAGCTCTCACAACTGCATGATGGCTTGGGAATGAACATCAGTAAAGATACTGCAAGGGGAAGCAATTCTGATTCTCATGTAGTTGATCAGACTAGAAAACATAATGAGCTTGTCACTAAGCTTCAAGGAATGTGCAAATCTCTACGAGTTACTCTTGATAATCATATCTTCAGAGAAGAGCTTGAATTATGGCCATTATTTGACAAGCATTTTTCAGTGGATGAGCAAGATAAGATTGTTGGACGAATAATAGGAACAACAGGTGCAGAGGTCCTCCAATCGATGCTACCATGGGTAACTTCTGCTCTTAGTCAAGAGGAACAGAATAAGATGATGGATACATGGAGACAGGCAACCAAAAACACCATGTTTAATGAGTGGCTAAATGAGTGGTGGAAGGATACTCCCTCATTGTCTACAGATGCAACAGAGAGTTCTGGTCTTCCAAAAGGTCTGTAATCTAATCACGTCTTTTACTGTTTGTACTTTATATAACTCTCAGTGTTGTGGAAATTATAATTCTTTGCTGACTTTTTTTTACTACAAATGACTTATCAAATTGTTGCATCCATAGAGGCTGATCACCAAGAAAGTCTCGAGCAAAGTGACCAGATGTTCAAGCCTGGTTGGAATAATATATTTAGGATGAATCAGAATGAGCTCGAATCAGAGATAAGGAAGGTTTCACGAGATCCAACAATTGATCCACGAAGAAAGGCATATCTTATACAAAACTTAATGACAAGGTTTGTGTTATTTAATCTTCTGTATGTGCTAATGTGACATTTAAGTAAGTAATTTAGATGGACATTGCAGTCGCTGGATAGCTGCTCAGCAGAAATTACCTCAGGCTAGAACTGAGGAAGCTACAGAAGGAGAAGACATACCTGGATGCTCTCCATCCTTTCGAGATCCGGAGAAACAAATATTTGGCTGTGAGCATTACAGGAGGAACTGCAAACTTGTTGCTGCATGTTGTAACAAATTGTTCACATGCAGATTTTGCCATGACAAAGTCAGTGATCATTCAATGGACAGGTATCATCCTTGATGCTGCTGATTTTTTTCCTCATGTAAAATGTCGCAGCACTGTGCTTGGCTGTAGTTCCATTATTAGTAACTTGTTTTATTTTCTTGTATAAATTTGTATAACTAAGTTGATGTACTAAAAGGTTTAAATGCAAGTGATTTTAGGAAATATTTCATTTAATGTGAAAAAATCAATATTTTAAGTGAGATTAAATTCTTGGGACTCCCTAAAGGAACCTAGCTTGTGCATGGCCTAAATATTACCAGGATCTAATGGATTAATTGCAAAAACTAAAGTAATGAAGGCAACCTGCTGTACATTGTCATTTGGGTAGAAGTTTAAGTTTCATTCATGTGAACACTAAGTAGTATGACCATATTGTGTTGGTGACCGTTGACTTACATAATTGAATCAATTCACCCAGTGATGCAACTGCATGCCTTGTCTAGGCTGTGTTTATATGTGAAATTTGCTAGTTGCCTGCCAGAGCCTTTTTTGTGTTGAACTTGCTGCATATCAGTGTATGTCATGCAATTTGGTGTGTATCCACCTGTATGGGATGGTATATATTATGGTGCAAACCGTGCAATCAATATTCTGCATAATAGTATGTTCTACTTTTAAAATGTACTTGGTTGGTAGTTGGTGCTATCTTATTGGTTTTCCACTTCATCTTTTCTTATGATGCTCATTAGAATTGGATTGTATGTGGATTGAAAGTATTGTTCTGTCCTGTGTTGAGTATTCTCTTCTTTGGCTGTTGAGCTTGCTCCAATCACTTATGGGCAATAATATTTTTTCTTCATAAAAGGATGCCTTACATGAGAAGGATTGAACCTTGCTCATTAACCTAAACATCTTGGAGTCATGCCCAATGTGGGATCTTTAAGTTCCTCCTTGTGACACAATAAGTCATATTACTTCGGAGTATATGTTG